TTACTGTGGGTTCCATTTTCCAGTAAGCCTGGGCACCAGAATGAACACATGTGCCACAGACCTAACCACAACTCACACTGAGGCACAGTTACCCAGCCTAGATCAGCCAAACCCTTGCAAACCCACAGACCTGTGAGCAAAAAGATAAATACTTGTTATAAGCCACTGATTTTTTTCAAACTTTATTGTGGTTAATAAATATGTATAACATAAACTTTGCCATTTTAACCATTTTTAAGTGGACAATAGACATTAATTACATTCACAATGCTGTGCAACCATCACCACTGTTTATTTCCAAAACTTTTCCATCACACCAAACAGAAACTCAGTACCCATTCAGCAAAAACCCCATTCCTTCCTCACCCCCACCCATAGTAGCCATTAATCTACTTTGGTCTCAATGTATTTGCCTATTCCAGATATTTCATGTAAGTGGGGACAAACAATATTTTTGTGTGTGTGTCTTATTGGTGTAGTGCCTAAGGCATTTGACTGCTAACCAAAAGGCTGGCAGTTCAAATCCACCAGCCACTCCTCAGAAGGAAGGTTGGACAATCTACTTCCATAATGATACTGCCTCAGAAACCTAAGGAGGGGTCTCTATGAGTCAAATCGACTCGACGGCAGTGAGTTTGGTTTATTTGTTTTTTATTTCACTTAGCATATTTTTTTTCCAGGTCCATCCATATCATGGCATATAACAGAACTTCATTTCTCTTTGTGGCTGAATAATATTCCATTGTATGTATGTGTGTGTGTGTGTATGTGTGTGTATATGTATATATATATGTATATGTGTGTGTGTGTGTGTGTGTATGTATATATATATATATATATATATCACATTTTATTTATCCATTCATTTTACTTACCCATATTTTCCACTTTGACTGTGAGAAAAGGATGAGGGCACCAATTTGTCTACATTCTAACACTTGTTCTTTTCTTTTTTTAAAATAATATCCATCTTAATGTATATGAAAGCCACTGAACTTTTAGATTGTTTGTTACTGAGACTTATTGTGGCAAAAGTTGACCAAAATATTATAACCCATCACAAAAACATGAAACTGGCTGACATAAACAAATATTTATAGCCCTGCTTATATAGCATAATCAAAAGGTTCAAATAGCCTCCCAATTGATTGATTCTTTAATAATCATGTAAGGCAGTAATGCTTTTGTTTGAAATTTTAATAAAATGCTCCTCACCACACTGTACATAGTGACCGCTCCTTGGGTTTCTGAGGCAGTATCACCATGGAAGCCGATTGCCCAATCTTCCTTCCGAGGAGTGGTTGGTGGGTTTGAACCACCAGCCTTCTGGTTAGCAATCAAATGCCTTAGGCATTATGCCACCAGAGCTCTTACACTGTACATACCTGGTCGAATTGCCTGCACTGGCAAGATCCGGTGGCCAATAAATTTACCTCCTTCTTCATAAACTGCTATCCTTAAACAGGCCAGAGAAGGAAGCACCACCTACAGGGATATTATGGACACAACCGGTTACAAGAACGATCAACTCCTAGAAAAAATTTGGCAGGTATTATTCAAATGGGCATGGCTTTTCAATCGAAGTGGAAATTTTTACATAGCTAATTTAGATAGAAATTAAGCTGAGGTTCTACAATTTTGATTTTCAAAACAAGAAACCACAGAGTGCTATGACTTCATTTATGATCGATCACACTGTCCCAGTGAGGTATTTGTTCAACACACAGGGTATTTCTTTATACATGAAAATTCTCAATCTGGAAATTACCCAAGTTCTATGTTTAAGTACAAAGAGTTAATGGTCTTATCACTGTGTGAGCATTTACTGTTACATTTTCAAAGCAAATGACTTTTATAGTTCAAAGTAAAAGCAAAAAAGAAAACACAACTTTCAGGACAGCTGTCAAAATTCTACTGTGTTATAAACTTGTTCATTTCAAATTAAGCAACAAATAATTACTCATTTTCTTTCTCAGTGTAAAAGGCCTGAAATATACAGCTACATATTATGTCAGGAATACAAGACCAATATCCAGATTCTCTTACAAAATGTTTTTGATTACGATTACAAACTAATATTTATTCAACATTGTTAAGTGCCAGACATTTTTCTGAGTACTCACTTATGGATTAACAACCCTATGATATACATCCTGTTATTAAACTAAATCAATGTGTGAAAAATACTGGGACACAGAGAGAAAAGTTAACTTCTCCAAAGTCTTCCAGGGATTAAGTGTTAGCTCTGGGATTAGGGCCCATGCTCTTTACCACACTACAGTATGTATGATGACCACAGAAACCCCATAGACAATACGTTAGATAATGTTTTTTTTCTTCCTGTAGATACCTGAATCACCATTAGAATCCACTAGAATTGTATTCATATTGATGAACATATATTCCACTCACTAGGTTCCTTTCCAGGGAGTAGAAATTGTGAATAGGTATGTGGAAATATTACAACAAATTGATAGCTGTATTTGTTATATAGTATCAGGGTCTCCCACATCTGTGTTATTGGGAGTGTTCATTTTAAACACCATGTTATCAAAACACCCAGCCTAATTTACATCAAGTGAGCTAATTATGCTTCACCAAACCAAAACACCAAATCAGTTGCTGTGGAGTTGATCTGATCCATGTAGACCCCATAGGGTCAGAGTAGAACTGTGCTCCACAGAATTTTCAGCAGCTGATGTTTCAGAAGTAGGTTGCCAGGCCTTACTTCCATGATAGCTTTGGGTGGTGCTTTGGATTGAATTGTGTTCCTCAAAAATATGAATTATAAATCCTAACCCCTATATTTGTAGATAGGAGCTCTGGTGGCATAGTGCCTAAAGCATTTGACTGCTAACCAGAAGGCTGGTTGTTCAAACCCACCAGCCACTGCTCAGAAGGAAGACTGGGCAATCTACTTCCATAGTGATGTTGTTGTTGTTGTTGTTATGTGCCATCAAGTTGGACCCAAGTTGGGTTTCCGAGGCAGTATCACTACGGAAGTAGATTGCCCCATCTTCCTTCCGAGGTGTGGCTGGTGGGTTTGAACCGCCAGCCTTCTGGTTAGCGGTCAAGTGCCTTAGGCACTACGCTACCAGAGCTCCTTTCCATAGTGATACTGGCTTGGAAATCCAAGGAGGGGTAGCTATGAGTCAGATCTGACTCTATGGCAGTGAGTTTGGTTTTTAGTTTATACCTGTAGATACATTCCCTTTAGGGAGTAGAGTTTTCTTTGTTATGTTAATGAGTTCGTGGCACTGTTGTTGTTGTTACGTGCCATTGAGTCAGACCAGATTCACAGTGACCTCTCCTTGGGTTTCCGAGGCAGTATCACTACAGAAGTAGGTATGTCTTCAGTCAATCAATTTTGAAATATAAAAGAGCAGATTGGGCACAAAAGAAAGCAATCACAGATGGAGAAAGATAGATATCATGTGGAGATTTCCAAGGAACACTGAAAAGACTACTAGAGAAGCTGAGACAAGGATTTTCCTCCAGAACAGACAGAAGAGGCCTTCCCCTAGAGCCTGTGCCCTGACTTTGGACTTCTAGCCTTGTAGACTTTGAGAGAATATATTTCTAAATTAAATTTAAAGCCACCCACTTGTGCTATTTCTGTTATAGCAGCACTAGGTAAGTAAGACAGGTGGACTTAACGACTAACCTTCAGTTAGCAGCTGAGCACTTAACTATTCATGCCACCCTGGGGCTCCATATTTATCAGGAAACTGAACCAAACCTAACTCACTGACATCCAGTTGGAGCCAACTCACAGCGACCCCTCCTTGGGTTTCCAAGATGGTATCACTACAGAAGTAGATTGCCCAATCTTTCTTCTGAAGAGTGGCTGGTGGGCTTGCACCACCAGCCTTCTGGTTAGCAGTCAAATGCCTTAGGCGCTACGCCACCAGAGCTGCTATATTTATCACAGAGAAGGAAACTTGCTTAAACTTATTTTGGCCTTACTTAGATATTTGAAGAGTCCTTCAGAAATGTGAGAACATCAAATTCTATTACCAAAAGGTATACTTTAAGATCGAGAGAGGGCAGGGGAAGTGAACTAAAATGCTAGAGAAGATCACAAGCTTAGCAAGAGCTTAATGATGCTTACATAGAGATACTCCCTTTGCAGAAGACTGCTTCTGTGGATGTTCTGGCAAGATAAAAGTGAGGATATGGCAAGAAAGTCCACTCTGTGTTGTACTGGACTTACTGTCTTCCTTTACGTGATAAGCATGCATGAAGAAGATTGAGTTTTTAGTGAAGGCAGAGAGAAGGACATAGTAAACTATGAAAGGTTTTAACTGTATCAGACAGATTCCAGACAAAATGCCATGGCTAAATGCTGCCAGGAACTAAAGATTCTAGGGAATTCAATTAATATTCTTTTAAAGCAAGTATAGACTTTGTCTCGGCTAGCCTATTATTCCCTACTTTGTACTCTACTTCATTTGAGTTACAATGAAAATATATCATTTGTATTGTGCAAAGGTATAAGTTAAACTTATATGTTAATCTTATCTTTCAAAGTGAGACATATTAGAATTAATTGATATACAATATAATCCTGGGTAATAGAATATGATGTTCTCACAATATAACCCTGAAAATCAAAACAAGTGATTAGCACAGAATTTCAAGGATAGCTTTCAAAATGCTATTGCTTTCTGAATATGTAAATTCCCAAACTAAGCAACATATAATTACTAATCTCATTTTTCACTCAGTGTAAAAAACCTAGAATGCAGCTACAAAACATGTCAAGAACTCCAGATTAACCTTTTTGAACACAATGGGTTCTTCTTCCCAGACAGGATTTACTGCATTTCCTTGTGACGTCTTGGTCTTAAAGGCCTTCCTCCTTGTGTCGACAGGCAAACCAAACATATCCACTTCTACATAGGTCCCAACTTTCTTATCAGAAAGAAACTGACCTGAAATTATCTAGGAAATAATAAAAAGAGAATCTTTGATAAAAGAGTAACGAAGACATAAGAAAATAATTTCACAAAGTATATATACTGATTATGAAAGTGTAATGAAACAGAAGCAAGAGTGCAAATTTGGTTTCTATTTTATTTGAAGAGTTGGTAGAGGAATTCATATTAAAAATGCTGCAGGCGGAAGAAGTAGATTAATAAAAGTTGTATAGGAGGAAAGAAATGAGTCAAATATTGACTTTAAACCACCCAGTCCAGTTTACTGTTATCCCTAGCCTCATCTGAGTAGCCACCCATACAATTGTGGGTATTGTTTGCCCACTTCTAAAACTATGGATATTATGAAGTTAAAAAGGAAATGAAAGAATTGCTTATTCATAAAATGTCTCCCATGTCTGTCTAGTTTGCTAAGCCAGTTTTCAGAATCTGAGGGCTCAATGGGGGTGTTATAAAGTTAATGGAGATGGAGGCAAACAACAATATGTTCTGCTACTCTACACGACAGAAGGACAGCAGACAGCAAGAGTTGATGGAGCACACCTGGTGAGTTTGGATTGTCTGCTTGGAACAAAGCAGTGTGCCAGTCAAGTGCTTTCTGAGCTCAAGTCAAGAAATGTGATAGAGTCACTAAGACTATAACCAGGAATCAAACAGGAAGTCAAACCTTAGGATAATGGCAGCATGAAAATGGTTCTCGGAGGCTGAATTAGGTCAAAGTCAGCTACACGATGATACAGTCAGCCAGAACATATTATAGAGAAAGACAGATGAGTTCACCCTGGGGCATCTCATTTCCCCTGGAGGTTCTTTCCAACTTGAGTGCATGCTAGCAACCATCTCTTTGTTTAACTTGAAGTTGCACATGCTTAGAAGGATTGAGCAGGCATTTTACAACATGTTTGAAACCTCCAAGTTATGAGAGTCATGCTGGAAATTCAGACGCATGAAAATTTTGTGAGCTTAACATGTTTGATCAAAGCAGAAATTCTTCACTAAATTAACATTAAATCTCAATGTTGTCATCAGTAAAGTGGGTAAGGGAACATCACATGAGTTCACAGACTCATTTTGGCACTATGAAGTCAATGCTGGAAGATTCAAAACAAAGGCAAAACTGAAAATGTATGAGCTGCATCTGGGCTTTAGCTGTTAAAAGCCGGAATCTACTGTAAGCTGTCCAGCCCATGCAGAGGCCACTAACAGATCTAGAAGGGCCTCCATTCGGGACTGAGGAAGCAGTTGACACTTGTCTGGGGCTCACTTTATACTATGCCATTGTTTTATAACCTCACAGCAGAATTTTCAAGAAAAATAACAAATAAAAAACAAGCATACAATCTGCAAACAAAGCAAAAATATTATTAGCTTGCCTCAACTGTAACAACAATTGCCAAAGGGTCTGAAATAACATTTATCAATTTGTGATGCTTAGGAACTTATTTTAATCAAACTTGACAGAAATAAACATCCTTTGTTGAAAACGATTTCCAAAAAGAAATATAACTTTGAAGCTCTAGTTCTGTCAGCTTCATCTTTTATTACATATGCCTTGATATAGTTTCAAAAGGTATCATTGTGAGACTCTTCATTTAAAATTTATTTTTAATTTTTGGTGCAAAATGACATTAGTTTTAAGGTAAAAATGGGCTCTGTGGCTAAGGTAGATTGACATGAGTGAAACTGCTCAAGTATATTTTAATATATATTTTTTTTCCTTTTCAAATGCCTTTGGTTTAAGATAAATCTAAAAAATTGCATGTATGTACAATAAAAAATTTATTATATACATACGAACAATAAAACACATCATATGATGTTCCCCTACCCATTTTACTGATGACAACATTGAGATTCAGTGTTAATTTAGTAAAGAATTTCTGCTCTGATCAAACATGTTAAGCTCACAAAATTTTCGTATGTCTGAATTCCCAGCATAACACTCATAACTTGGAGGTTTCAAACAATAAAAAATTTCTTAAAAAGAAAAGAAATGGGACTTATAAAGGCAAATAGAATTCTAGCTGCAACAAACAAGGACTTACAGAATTCCTTTTAAAAAGCTCTTCATAAAAACTAATTTCCCACTCTAGTATTAAAAATACTTTCTGGTTGAAACATCAATTTAAAAGACTGCAGAAAATCATTTGGAATTAATTATTTTAGGCTCAGATTTATATTCAATAAAGCAACTCTGCTTCATTTAAAATCATTAATATGTGTTATTAAATCCCTGAATACACTGGTATACCTTCAAAAACCTTGCTATGGGAAATTGAGAGCTCTTATTCCATATTTAATAATTCAATGAAAGAATACATTTTTCCCCACTTTTACTCAGTGTAGATACTTCTTTAGAACTAAGAGGGGGGGAAAAAAAAAGATCAGAAGATCTCTCCAATATAGGTCACTAGTTTTCATGGTAAATTTAATTGTGGGATTTTTATACCAACCCAAGGGATTGACTATGGTGAATTTCACCAATTCCTTTTATGGATTTAAGGTCCAATTTTTGTCATATTAAGAGTGGGACTCAACTGCTTTACCTCATCAATGGGCTTTCTAAAAACTTAAAACATGATTTTTACAAGTCGAGTTATTGTGGTTAAAAAAATATATATATAACAAAACGTTTGCCAATTCGACATTTTTTAATGTACAATTCAGTGACATTGGTTACATTCGTCATGTTTTGCAACCATCATCACTACCCATTTCAAATTTTCTATCACCATTAATGGAAATTCCATGCCCCTTAAGCAAAGACTCCCCCTTTCCCCATCTCTCCCACCTTTGAGAACCACTAATAAACCTTGGTGCCCATACATTTGCCTACTTCATATAAGTGCAATTATACAGTATTTGTACTTCTGAGTCTGGTTTATTTCACTTAGCATAATGTTTCCAAGGTCCACCCCAGTTGTAATGTGTAACACGACTTCATTTCTCTCTAGTGCATAGTAATATTTCATCATATGCATGTACCACATTTTGCTTATCCATTCGTCTGTTGATTGATATTTAGGTTGATTCCATCTTTTGGCTATTGTGCTGCAATGAACATTGATATACAAGTTTCTATTTGTGCCCCTGTTTTCAGTTCTTTGGGGTATGTAACTAGGATTGGGATTGTTGAGTCATACAGTTGTTCTGTGTTTAACTTCTTGTGAATCTAACGAAGGTATAATCATTAATGAGAACAACACAGGAGGAAGTGGAGCCTTTGCTAGCTACCAAGTTTTTAATGATCGAACTGTACTTCCTCATACAAGACAGATGAGTTCAAGACTTTTGCTAGAGATGATTTTGTACTAGAGGTTTACTTACCTTAACAGATAAAGTGTTGGCCACTATCCCATCTACTATGCCTTCAGTAAATGGATCAAAATGCTTGTCAGGTCTCCTCATGAACTCTGGCTTCAATCTGTAGCCACTCTTCCCATTGTATTCATACATCCCCATATTTATTTGCATAGCCAAGTCTGAATATAAAAAAAGGCAAACCTTTAGTATGAAGACATTGATATGCTGAGCGAGAAAGGGAAAATGAGTGGTATTATGAACTCCTCATATTAAAATTTACTTTTGTGACTGCTCTTGATGGCACATAACAACAACAACAACAACCCCTTGACAGAAGTAATGTTTATTCATTGAAACACAGAGAAGAAACAAAATCAGCTGTCCACCCCAAATCCAGAGATAACCACTGTCAGTAGTATGGTGTATACTCCATTTTTTCACTTCAAATATATTTTAATTATAGAATATATCCATTTCATTAAATATTTTCCTGCCTTAAGTTTAACAGCTATGTAAAATTCCTTTGGATAGATATATTTAAGTAAGTGTATTTTACCGGCACTCTCTTTGGGTGCAAGGAGTTCTGGTGGTATAGTGGTTAAGGCATTTGACTGCTAAGCAAAAAGTCTGATTCAAACCCACCAGCCACAAAAGAAAAGATGAGGAAGTCTCCTTCTGTAAAGGTTTATAGCCTTGGAAACCCAGTGGGGGCCACTATGAGTCGGAATTGACTTGATGGCAGTGAGTTCTCTTTGGGTGCATTTCTGTTTCTTGTCATTTTTCACTGTCACCTATAATAATTGTGGAATATCTGTGGGAAATCTTTGAATATATCAATTATTTTGTTAGGAGAATTTCTGGGTCAAAATAGTGCACATTGGAGAAGGATTTTGATAAGACTTACCAAAGACCTTTCAGAAAGCTTAAACCAATTTACATATCCTTAATCCTTGTTTTTGAGGGCAGGCTTCTCTACACTTTATCGATAATGGAAGCTGTACTTTCTCTCTGTTTTTATAAATTATAGTAAGAATTAATCTTTCTCTCTTTAAAATGTGCATTTCTTTGATTTCTTTTTAGCACAATCACTTTCTAAGTATACATTGACTCTTTTCCAGTGGCCAGTGACTGCTGCTCGAAGTTTTCCTAAGACTTATTCATTGTACCCAATGAATGTTCACAATAGTTACAATGCTAGGGTTACAAAATACTTTATTAAGTCATAAGGAATTTAGAAAGATGTCGGGTGGTCCAAATTCTTTGTGCCACATTTATATGCATAATAAAAAGGGATTATAGAATGATTTCAGGATGCCATGTAACAAATCATTCTTACAGTGGAAAGAACTGATATTTCTTCCTCATGAGGTTATTATGACTGTGACACGAAAATTGGACCAAATAGAAAACTGCAAAATGATAGCTCTATCACACACAGAGAATTACTCCAAAAGTCGAGGAAAAGAAAATCACATTAGCAATTTAAATCATATGCTCTAAAAAATAGTACGCAACAAGCAAGTAGATTTACCTTAGGAAGGAAAGAATAATTGTATACCAGGAGAGCCATTGTGATAATTAACCACATTTATGCACAAAAGAAGAAATGAACATATCATTTCATACCATATGATAATCCCAATAGTTGTCAAAGAAACACTTAATACCATTCAACATAAATTCCTAAAACTCTGTTGTTCAACTAGGACAAGCATATACTCTCTCAGTATGTTAAAGAGTATCTGTCCCAAACTCTCAGCCAACATCCTACTCAATAGTATAGTAACAGTAAAATTCCCATTAGTGTCAAGATGAAAAAGATGACCACTCTTAACACTGCTATTTAACAGTATTCTAGAACGGTCAATCCAAAGGAATACTACAGGGGGAAAATTAAATACATTTAAATTACTGTGATTATGTATCAGAAAACTCTGATAGAATCTACTGGCAAAATACATTATTGATAAGAGTTTAGGATGATGGCTACTGATAAAAGATATTTATTTGTAAAATTATCTTATAAATAGCAATATACTGGACAATCTTCTAAGAATGTAGTGGGGGGGAGATTTTATCTAAAAAACTAGACCTCTAAAAAAGACCACTGATTTGGCTGCGGGACTAAACAGAAGAATTTTAAATGAAAAGGAAAATATTGTGACAGGGAAAGCAAAAATTAAAAAGAAGTCAGTTTTCTATAGATGAACTTACAAATCTATTGCAATTTTAACCAATTTTTTTTTAATGGGAAAGAGAGATACATAATACAATTAAATGAAATTAAGTTAGAACAAGAATCCCACATATAATGACAAGAAAAAGCTAAAAAGTGATAGCAATAAATGAGAATTCCCACTTCCAGGTATTAAACCATATTATAAAATACTATATAAGGAGCCCTGGTTGCACAGTGATTAAAGCTCTTGGTTGCTAACCAAAAGGTTGCTTGTTTAAATGCACCAGTTACTCTGTGTGAGAAAGATGTGACAGTGTGCTTCTGTAAAGAGTATAGCCTTGGAAACCCTATAGGACAGTTATACTCTGTCTTATTGGGTCTTTGTGAATTGGAATTGACTCCAAGGGCAGTGGATTT